TATAATAATTGAATAAATAAAAATTAAAGGAATGAAAAAAGAAAATAATAAAAATAAAAAAGTGTAGAGATTCCAAGTCACGTTAGTTCACGACGTTTCGATTGTTGGTATCTACAATCGTCTTCGGGTGATGACTGGCTTTTTTACTTGTTTCAGGGATTTCGAATCATTTTATAGACAATGGAAGTCCGAACTAGTGAAATATATACAGGGTTTACGCAATTTACCTAGAAGTTCAAAAATAGCAAACAGCATGACGACAGATAGAAAAGGGTCGACGTAAAAGCCTTAACCATTCTGTCAATGCATAGTTGAGTTAAAATCAAAGTAAATGCAATCAAAAGTATCTTCTCGATATAGAATATGGAATATCATGAATAATGTTCTTTGATCGTTAAAATATATATTTGTCTATAAAATACACACAAGAGCTTGCCATATGCAAAGAACAATTTGCTCCTTTAGTAAATTGCCTGTCTGCTGCAGAAATGTGAACCAAAAGAACCACAATTCATGAACAAAGAACAGAGGTCTCCAAACAAATCACATCAAAACTTCTATGACCTGAAAATGAAGAATGGCTCCAAAATTGCATCTTTCCTAAGTCCTAAGTTGTTAATCAATTAGAAGACATGGACGAGAAAATTTTACATATAGCCAAAATAATAAAGATTATAAACAGTCTTCCTTCCCAGTATATGTTCATCACGGCATGGAATTTGGTAGATCTCTCTAAATAAACCTTCAGCAAACTGATACCATGCCTGGTGAAAGAGGAAGAGAAACTTTGTAACAGACAGGACAATGAAGATTCATTGGTATTCCAAATACAGTCTATAAGTTCGAACTGACATAAGCACATAGGAACAAAGGATTTCAAAAATTCAATATGTCTCGAATGTTTAGGAATTTTCCATCCTGCTAGTTTATATAGACAAAGCTATTACCTCAATATAGGTAGCACACTGAATATATTACTCTGAACAGTATGAAAAAGAAGCTGGAAATAAAGAATATAAAATAGAAGAACTCAATAAAAAAATTCAAGCATTGTGGAGCCTGGTTAATGCCTTCATATAAAACAATTAAAAGTTAAAAATGTGTTGAAAACAAATTCAAATACCATTGGGGTTCATGCTGGAAGGCGGGAAGTCCCAAAGGACTACTATCTCGCAAAAGGACTCCAATATCACTATACTTTTTTAGAAAAGAACTTACCCAAACTATCAATATCTTTAGTGCTTTTGAACATACAATCAATAATAAATGAATATATGTTTTTAGAAAATATAATATTTCCTGCCAGGTATTAGTAATAGAGCACTGGCTACAAACCAGTGAATTGAGCTATGCGGAAAACTATATTGTAGTATTCAGTGATAACAGAAAAATATCACCTCACGGATGTAACCAAATACTGGTCAAGAACTTCTCTGCGCAAAACTTTTGCTTTTTTAATATCAAAAAATTCAGTTACATACTGGAAGAAAAACAATTTGAATTATCTCTTATTCATAGCACAAGTCAGTTTATATTGTATATGTATATATGAATCTCCCTTCAGTGATATAAGTGTATTTTTGAACAAACTAGAAAAACTTCTTAATGAATAACTACAAGATCATTTATTATTCTGACTGGATACTTCAATAACAACTATGATGAGAAATCAGCTCAAACCAGGTTATTGAGAAATTTACGGCAGTGTTTTGACTTAAATATGCATGTTACACACCATTCTTTATATTCTGCATCCACAATTGACTGTTTGTAGTAATATGCAAGATAATCTTGATTTTTGTTTAGTAATTAGTGCAGGTTTATTGAATCAAAATGNTTACACGTCATTCTTTATATTCTGCATCCACAATTGACTGTTTGTAGTAATATGCAAGATAATCTTGATTTTTGTTTAGTAATTAGTGCAGGTTTATTGAATCAAAATGTAGTGTTAAGTAGTTTCAGTCAACTAGTCAACTATTTAAAAGTTTTTTGAAGTCCAAGTAGTCGTTTCTCCTAAAGTAGAAGGGAGTGCTAAGTTTTAAGTTCAATCTGTAAGTCTAACAAAAAACTTTTTCAAAAACTATTTATTGTGAATATTTATCATAGGATGATGCGTCTTTTACTTAAAAAAAATTCTGAACTCACCGTAACAATTCACTCGGAGGTCTTTTAATTGCAAGATAGGTTCGACATTAGATATTCGGGCTTGAATCATGGGCACTTCCACCAACTTTACTACATTTTCACGATTTTCTTGGGCTTCATTTTCATAACTATCTATGATGAACTGGTGCATTGCCAAACCTATGCATTTGAGAGAATATTCACAGTTGTCAATTAAGTCATCTTTGAAATTAATCCACTTGGACAATATTTCATTGTGATCAACTATGAATTTATACTCAATCGTAAACGATCTAGCACTGACAATGTCGGCAATGGAGTAAATTGACGAATTTTCTTTGAAAAATGTTTTAAAACATGATACATGTTTCAGTATCTCTGTACAATCCAAATTAGCTAAAAATAAAAATTATTCCATGAAAATCCTTCAAATATCGACTGAAGGTCTAGGTTCATATTGAAACTAACTTTCATCAGGAAAGTATAATCTGAATCCACTGAAACCATGGTTGGATAAGTTGGTTATAAAACTCGGTTCATTTTTATTGTCATACGTTTTGTTTTTTCTTGGAAATTTTTTATTGAACCAGGGTTTCGACATAGCTAATATTAACTTATTAACATCACAAATGTATACGAACTTCTTTTGAGTATTGTCATATGTTTTGACTTCTTGTAATTGAACCTCAAAATCACATTTTAAAATTTCAAACAAAACAAATCGGTTTTTTTTCACACAGAACAACAGAATACAGTTGCTCATAGAACCAAACAACAGTGCTTATTTTGTCACAGACGTCTAATAAATATCGCATTTGAGTTGACACCCGAACGATCTCTGGATATGTACCGGTTTTTTGAGCACAACTGGAATGAACAGTATGTAAAATATATTTCGGATTTGTGTTGTTTTGTATCTCTTTGTATCAAAATGTGCCCATCCACAGATATTAAATTAAGGAGGCGCCACTGTAGTAAGAGTGTAAATTTTAAATGAAGCGTTAAAAGTTAAAGAAAAACAAGAGTTAGGTAAAACGGAAGTTGGAACCCCCGCTCGTAAAGCTTTTTAAATTTCACAATAACTCATTGACTGTCGACGTTATGTCAAAGTAACTTTGTTGGGTATATATCAACCAAATAATATTCGACTACGTGATTAGTTACATTTATATCATTAACAACGTGAGTCATTAAAAATATTAAATATTTGAACTTAGTATACCTCAGGTTGAGTACATATCATACCACTCTTGATATTAGCGCCATTTTGATCGAATTTTTAGTAGTGGACACTTTTTTAGCTAAATCACCACTTGACATGGTTTTCCTTATCTCTACGCACCATAATTCAAATATTTCAACTTATTTGTGGCTACCATTTCATTCGAAAGATGTCTCTATGCATCCAATAAACCTGCCCTAAGTTTACTGTCCTTGACAGTATACCATAAGCACAGAACCCCTAAACTTTGCATAACAACTGAAAACTACACTTTCCTGTTGGTAATTCGAGTTTCTGTAAATTTTCGGTTATGGGTTGTGTAAGACATTTTTTAGCGAGGACTACCGGTATGGATAATTGACAAATTCAATTGAATTTTCAACTGATGTTTTTCAGCAAGAGAAGGCTGGTTTGAAAGTGACTATATGACAGTTCAATTCATTTATTACTATTCAGGAACATAACGTTTTTTGACAAGTCATAAATTTATTCTAAAAATATGTATAGTAAAATCAGTCGCATATTGAGACATATCTAGAGGTATGTCAAATAATTGGAAATATCTATAAGAAAATAACATATAGGTACATTATGAAAGAGAGGACAATGGCAGATCAATATCTTCAGATGACGTGGTGTTGCAGATTTTTCCTGGTTTTCCTGCAGCTGAAAAATCAAATGCCCCACTGGAATCAATGATGTCGCCCCGGAGCGCCAATTAATTTTTGTTATTTCTTAATTTCATTATTTGTATTACTTTCTTCTTTAGTATATATCAACATTGTCGTATAAAGTTGAAATATGTAAGTACTTCGCATAATCTAATAATGTTATCTTCAACTGTAGGTATATACACACGTATCGATACCAAGGGAAAGTGAAGAAATTCCGTCGTCAAAAGTAGATAAAATACAAATATAGAAATGAAGTTGTATGTATTAGTTTGAAGCAGTTGTGAGAGGGTCATTTCAGACCTACTAAATATTGTAACGAATTAAAGAATTAACTGTCTTAAACAAATTTATTTTAACAATACTTCACTATCACAACTAATTCATTTACACCACTAACGCTTAATATATCTTCACCGTTTGTTAACCGCTCGATTCGCTTTCTTGGTACAGACTGCCCTTCGGGACGAAGAGCGACGTTTTATATTGTCAACGAACGTTCCGGATCCCTCTGCGGATTTCGGGATTCATCCGCATCCTTCCCGCTCTTTCGCGGTATTCCGTCATGCGTCGGTCAGGGCCGGCTTCAGATTCATTACAATATAGTAGTAGTCTTAGCTAATCTTTCACCGTGTTTTGGAATGCTATGTCGCTAATAATCTGCTTAATTTCTTGTGACAATTCGTCGTAACGGAGAATTGTATTATATCGTGGAGAATCTCAAAAGTGAATTAATCTATGCTGCAAGAATCGCAATACACTTCGTTTATTGTAATTATGATTTGAGGCATTTGTCGAGAATGATGACAAGTTACGTCCAGCAAACAAAATGCATTTAATGGTGAAAATGGAAGATCCAGTCGGATCTTCATTCAAAATTAAATATAAGACGAACTATTCTCTTATGTGCAATAAAAACGCGAATGAAATCTGCCTAAACCCTAATAATGCTAATATTGAGGTTGGAGGTAATCCATCGCATAATATAGGTTCATTAGTCCCGCCTCGACCAAGCTCAACTGTAACTGTTTTAGAACAGTTACAGAACAGAACAGGTATGTCATTTAGATTGGAACAAACACTATCCCAGGTAGTGCCTAGGAATTTATCTAACTATTCAATGTTTGGATATCGTCAATTTCGCATTTTTTCCAAAGTGAAAATTCACAGATGCTGATTCAGAGACATTCAGTATTAGCTTGTTTCTCTGCACCAGGTACTGAATTCATTTAGAACACTATCTAGTTTGATAGTAAGTTGCTCTGCAGTATGGTAAGATATAGTTATGGTGACTTCCGCGAACATTTGTTATATACTCATCTTCCATTTGAAAAAAAATTTCATTACCATGTATGAGGAACAGTAATGGCCTAAGGAGTGAGCCTTAAGGCACACCGAGATTCACACTACTAGCGTTAGAAGTTGATCCATTACACATGCTCATATCATCGAAATAAGATTCAATTTGATCATGTTTCTGGAGAGATCCAAATTTGAAAGTTTAATTAAAGGACATACAGAGCTTTGGTCTGATTAAAACATTAAAAATTACTCACATAATAAATAGAGGATGTCTCGATACATTTATTACTTCCAAAAGAATGTTGATTAAGACAAAAAAGTTATTGATTTATTCAAACAGGTGGATATCCAAATGTTATGTAGGCAAATTCATTTCTACCGAGAATGCTACAGTGCCTAGAAGTTAAAATGTTTCGAATATTGTGTAACTATATTATCATGAAAAATGTTCTCTCATAGAATGACCTGCTAGATTACCTAATATTAAGTTTTTATATTTTTGTGCGGATTCGTGAAATCGAAAGTGTATGTTACACCATCGCAGTTTATTCCGAAGCTTATAATTAGAATAGGAGGTCCTTCTAACGAAAATACTCCAGAAACATTTCGTAATGTAAGAAATGAATTTGTATACAAAATTCTTTATTGTCAGAAAGTGAATGATAACAATTTTTAAAATTCACCTATCAAACGAGGTATTACAAGATCTACAATAAGACACCCTTTCTATTTGAAAAGTGGCGTCCTCTCGGCGACGAATGATGAAATACTATTGTCATTCTTATCAAAAAGTACTAAAATATACTTTGTCCGACCTCGATATCTTGTCCCTTTCAAAAATTGAGGGGTGAAATATTTATTTATGTCCGCACTGTATATAAACATTCACTTAAGACACCATTTAAAAAAATAGCTATACGTATTGAAGAGAGCCAAATGTGTATTAATATTTACGAATTATTGAAGCAGTAATTGATAGATACATAAAGTTATATAGCTGACTCAGCATAAGTTTATAAACTTTTCATTGGCATCAGATGTCCCAATTAATAATAATAACAATAATAATAACAAGTAACATACAATGTTTATAATAGGGAAAAAACAATAATTCAAAAAGCTAACAATAAAATTTTCTTTTCAAATAACAGAATTGCTGAATGAAACTGGAAGATTCAAACTTATTCTCGATGCATTAGTGTTGAAACATGTCAGAATAAGTTAATAATGTACCTACTTGATACAATTTGAAGTTCATAAAAACTGGTAGATTGTTGGTTGTTTGAGTTTAGAACTTGTATGCGTTTTCCGTTAGTGAAAACTGGTGCATATTCATTGTATCTCTGCCCTCTATTCCATTATAAATTAATGAAGGAAAGAAAAACTTGGAATTTGCACTGGTTTTACCAACAGAAAACACTATTACTCTTCGTTAAACCGCTCGTTCATTTGCGGTTCGGTTGATGATACTCGTTTCTCACATACAACAGGGGTGGTGCATTGTATATTCTATTGGTGAAGATGTGCATATTTTGAATTAATTTTTCACACTTGAATGGAAATTTGAACTTCATACTTTGATATGCTAACAGTTTTCATTCCGGGTTTGTTTTCTAAATTTTTACTTTTTGTCCTTATAACATGTGGAGTAATGATATATTAGGAAAAAAGTAATGATGTTACTGTTTGATTGGCCGGTAGAATAGTATTTATATATCAATACTTATTTTTAAGCCTATCATGCCCTATTTTTAAATACGATCCATTTAGAAAATTTCAAGGAATTAACAGCAATTAATAAATATTCCCAACACCGTGAAATAAGTGATAATTGGTGTTGTTGCTTCAAATTAATTTTTTTCACTTAGTATGTTAAAATAATTGATCATGGTTTGTCTATAAAAGAAGACGATTCTGACATTGACAATAATTTTGAAAAGTTATAAAATAAAAATATTGACTTGAAAAGTTTGATTCTTGGTTTATTTCGACTTTAAATCAAAGAAATGCACAGACTAATCCGAACAAAATTAGAATTGAGAAGAAACATATTCCCCGACTGAACCAGGAATAACACAATCTTGTGCATTTTGCATTTATCCAGACAAGTTTTTTAACCTTTATATGTTCGAGAGTGAAAAAAGCTTCATTCCGCCAAGGATAATCCTCAGTAGCAATCATTTTTACCGAATGATAGTGGTGGAGTCTGGAATGTTCAGAGTTCAATAAAAGTAGTCCGAAGTCTACAATCTCATAGCGAATATCGGGTATATCGTCATGCAGTAGTCAGACGGTGCAAGTCTAGCAATGTGATTTTTTTTAACAGATCTGCTAACCACCCATCACAAAACTACGGCAGATTCGATTTAGAATGAAAACGTTTTTTTCGGTTTTCACATTCCAGCTATTTCTGCGTATCTTTTGGCTTCCCGCTTTTTCGCCGGGTAGCAATAAGTAGCATTACCGTGTATGATGTGTTTCTATGTGTATCTTCTGTGCATGCTCTAGACATTTTTGTGAATGATATTGATAGGTATATTTAATTTGTTTCTTCCTCATCAGTGAGCTTTCTTGTAGCAGTTCCCATGACACAGCTATGCCTGTAATCTCTATAATTTTTCCTCAATAATAATTTTCACTGTACAATTTGAAGGCAAATTTTTCGCATACCTATAGGTTTATAAGTCATGACTTAACGAATGAGTATAACTTCAATGAAGGAAATTTACATTAAGCTGAAAATTGACATTTTTTTTGTTGTTTTATTAATTTTTTTTCATAAATAATTGAATTAATAAAATAAGTGATTGTTTCCAAAACCGAAGGAGATGTTTATTCTTCTCAAATGTAATGCTTTTTTGGGTGTCGGCCTCATCGACTACATTAATAGTTAGCCTCGTGTTTTGGGTAGTTTATTGTATTCGTTTGAGAATGTCTATATAGGACGAGACTTCAGTAACGTTAGTTACGAATAAAAGTGGTAAAAAACATAGAAATTTTCATTTCTCTTTTCATAATATGTTACGCTTACTAATTAATAATCGAGTTATGGCTCTTATACATCTGATAAATGGGTCCTTAGTTTGTATCATTATTCCTTGGAGTGCCGTATTGTTTGAACAAACAGTACATCATGGAAAAAATTCAAACCCAAGCTGGCCACAACCACAAAATGGCGGATTACATATTTGTTTCAATTCTTCCAAAATAGGGCTTGAAAAGTACTTTAGAGTAAAAAATCCTAATCTTAGACAATCAATACATTAAAACTGAAATTTAGGTAACAAGCTATTTTGTCAAAGTAGAATATAGTTATTCAATCATCATGAATCAACACATCACTGTACATAATATAATAAAAGGCAAGACGCAATTGTATATTTATAAATGTACAATTTTGAGCTTAATTAGGCTCCTGTTATTCTAATACTATGGCAGTTCACAAAAAAAGCAAAATAACCTCTGAGTAGATACATATCATCAGAAGGTTATTTATTTAAAAATTGATAAACTATTTGAAGGAATGCGGAAATGGCAATGTGGAACAATATTCCACACAATTTAGTGCATATGTGCGGAGTTTACAACTTTCTGGTGTGACGGACTAGACTAGAACAACGGTGGCAACAGGCGGACCGCGGTCCGTTTGCGGACCGTGAAAGGACGAATCTCGGACCGCCGAATATTGTAATGTGTTGTATACCAAGTATAAATCAATACATAGATAAGATATACTTTACCTTCAATTATTGAAATAATATTTTTAAGCCACATAGAACATGACTTAGAACTTATTTTATTTTAAGTTACCTAAGTAACTTATTTTACAAGAACCTACAATAACTAATATGGTTTGATCAGTTTCCTATCTAGCCTGTGTGTGCGCGTGTATTTGTGCGAGTTAGTAATAATTTTAAATCTTTATTACGCACACGAAACATCCATAGGTTGAACTACATACCATTTTTACGGAAATATGTTCTTTCAACCCCAGCAATGATTGGAAAGAAAAAGGTGTAGTAAAGAGAATCAGGGATAAAAACCCAGGTCTAATATCTCGCATCAGTGCATAATTCACCAGGTAGCCTTTTTTAGTAAACTTAGTGCTACACTGAAAAAAGTGATGAACAGCTTGGTCAAGTTGAATAATTTTATGAGATCTCATTCTGCTCTTCAGTATCGATATTTCAGCGTATTCTGACTTACTGCAACATAACAGACAACGTATAACCTTAGGGCTAGTACTAGAGTGTCACCAAGATTTAGCCAAAGTCTCGGTAGATAATAACATTATCCTGAGGTGAGTTAAAGGGCACAACAGGAGTAAAGGTAATCGCATTGCCGACTCTTTAGCCAAGGAACCGACTGGACTAAAAATTTTAGGACCCAGTGGAACCCAAGGCCTGATGACTTCGACAATTGCGGAACTAGTCAAATGTTACACCCTTGCTCAATCCTTAAAGAGATGAGACGAAACCAAAGGATGTAATCTTGCCTGGTAATGACCAGGAAAAATCTACGCCTAACAGAAGGATTTCTGACTGGCAACTGTCAACTAAGGAAACACCTCCATAATATGGGGCTAGTGAACACACCTCTATGCAGGATGTGTGAACAGGAAGATGAGACTGTCAGGCATGTCTTGTGCGAGTGCCCGGAGTTATCGTCAATAAGAGAGTGTGTGTTCGGCGAGTCTTGGCCTACACCTGCCGATATAAGGGAGATGTCTCCCAGTGACCTGTCCACCTTTCTGGAAAGGACAGGATGGACGATGACCTAGGAGGACAACTCCTCGGGAGGATGTACAATGGGTCACATGTGGCCTAAGTACTGTGGGCTTACACTCACCCTCCCTACTCTACAGATACAGACAGAGAACATAACAATGTTCCTAGGCTAAGTAAAGGTCAAGTTACTGAACGTTTATGGCTAAATTTGGAAATATACCTTGTAATAATAAGGCACTGAATGATCTAACTAGACTAGCCATGAAAATAAAATAAGTGATAAAATGTTTATAAGTTGAACGGTTTCAGCTATAGTTTCACTTAATATTTCTACTGATTTGATTTTAATTTTGTCAAATTAAAAGCGCATCTTGATCCCTAGAAATAATTTCCAACGACGCCATTGCGAATGAGAAGCTGTTCCCTTCGATGACGAGATGGTGATCATCGAAAGGATCACACGATACGGGTTTATGAACAAGCCGAAGAGAGACAACGATATAGCTTTTGCAAATGAATATGAATGGTCAATGCGATGATGGGTCAATGTGCGTTGTGCGGTATGCATTGTTGTTCCAAGCTTTCAGTGGAAGTGGAAGTTTGTAGTGTGGTGGTTTTCAATAATACGGACTAGGGGGTTGAGAGTTATATGTTATATGATGTTTGTTGTTGTTGTTTATTGTTAGCAGTTCCCAAATAGTGTTTGTTAAACTCGTCTTGTATTTTGTAGTTTTCATTATCGTCAACTGTTGTTTACAAACGGAAAATTACTGAATATATCCCCGGTTCAATATTTGAGTGATTTTAATAAAAAATGTCTGGACCAAAAATATTCACTTGGTGTACCTAATATTCCATTTGTGCAAAATGCTCGTATATATATTAATATTTTGCATCCTCGCAAAGTTTTCAGACTGCACTGATTCCAATACTGAAACGACAAAGCTGTTTACTAAAGCAGGTATTGTATTAAAAAAAATCTGTCACGATTCCTTCAATTAATATTTTATTTTATTCAGACAAAGCTGGCCATGAGACAAAGTCATGATCCCTAACAAAAAAATAAAATAATTTAGTAATAAACAATTGATAATGAATAATTTGAGGGTCAGAATACAAACAATCAAGCGTGACAGTGGCGTAGCAATTCATTTTTTCTGTGGGGAGTGTAGAGTACTTCAAGTGAAAAAGTGTTATTGTCATTCTGAAAAAATATAAAGTTATTAGGAAATCCAACAAATTTAGAAAGGTCAGAGAACTGAGGTCATCTGAAAAATATTATTCCTCAAAATAAGGAAAACACGAAAATGATTTATATGTTGATAACTCCAACCTTCTTGGAAATATAATTGACATATTGAAGTTATGAATGGACTGATCTGTTACTAGATGAAAAGTAAAATGATCATAATTAAACAGTTTTCACAATTTTTTTTAATCTAAACACGTTCTAACATTGTAGCTTCATTGGTGGTAATAGTTCATACTGTGTGGCACTTATGTGTGCCACCAAAAGGTGGCACACATAAGTGTTCAAAACTTTTATGTTCGTAGATTCTCAATTTGAAATTTCTTGAAGTTATTCCTGTATAAAATTTTTGGCATGATTAGCATATTAGTGTGTAGATACCTGACCTCTCATCCTTGTCTATGTGAGACTTATTGTTTTTATTTCATCTGAGGTTTTTCCCATATATATGTGAATGAAAACTAATTGAGATACGATGAAAAAACTAAGGCTTATTTATCCTCTATTAATTAAAGAACAAATTTAGCCTTAAATTAAAACTCTTACCCAATTACTAATTCCATATATAGCACTTGTTTATGAAAATAATCAGATGCTATGAATAACAATTTGAATGATATAAAGCATGTCAGACTTTAATTTAAAAAATCCTTAAGTGGCCATTGATAATTACTCCTAGACATGTTGCTCAATTACAGACTAATGACGTCTCTAAATACTAATGAAGAATCTATTATCTCAGTTACTTTTTCGAAAAACCCTTTGGGTCATCAAAAACTTATTATTAACATAATCTAGACAAATCTAGAAAATTTTAACTACATGAAGTATAAGATATGAAGTATAAATGTATGAAATGTAAATGATTAAAATAAAATATAAACTATATATACATACATATGCAAAGGATACATAACAAGAACTAGGACAACGAATAAAAATATGTTTTTCATACACAGTACAATCGCAATTTTAACTCATTCTAAATTACAGGGCATCTTCATAATATTCTTGTAGGTCATAATAGGCCTTATCACTTGATAGTTTTGTACATTTCTTTCTGAATATGATAAAGGGAGTCTCTTTGATTTCATTGGGAAGTTTATTGTATATCCTGATTCTATTATATATCGACGAGTTTTGAACTAAACATGTTTTTGGAATTGATGTCCTCTACAATAGAATTTGTTCTATCGTGGCAACAATATCAAATGGATCATAATTCACAAGAAAATGATGTATTTCCGAACTAGGTTATAGTATCTGGTCATTCTGAAAAATGGTGTTCTGTATCTGTATCTGGAGGGTCAAAGAACCTATTCGGCAACGGTCTCAGTTTCGGCCGAAACTGAAACTTCCTTACAAGAATTATGTTTTGGAGGAAAAATAAAGAAAACGTTATCAGTCAGTATTTATTATTTTATTTTTAAATCACAACTTTATCAGTCTTTGACATTTTTACTTATTGATAATTAATATAACAAACCCTTATTTAAGAAAAAATATTAATTGCATCTTAAAAATACTTAAAATAGGTGAGGTGTTTATTTGAGAAGGTGTAGATCCTTCTTTTGAATATTATTGATGGTTTTTCAAAAATATTAAACATGAAATTACTTATTTAAATTGTTACCTAATATCACAATAGGTACTTAATATTTATGCAATAAACAAAATAAATCACAAAGTAAGTCTCAAGTCATGAACATGATTAGGTAAGAGGACGCGGCAAAATGACTTTGTCGCTTGTATCAAATTCAACGCGCCGAACATGACCGATCACAGGGAGGAAATTTCCGAATGCAGTTTCGGTCGTAGTTTCGGCAGGTTTGCCATCGAAACCCGTTTTTTGCCGAAACTCGACCGAAACCGAAGTTTCGTTCGAACACTAGTTGAAACTAAATGAACAAATGTTGATTCTAGGTTATCTAGGCGTAGATGCCACTTAAAACCTTGTTTTATAAAAGGTTTAGTTATTCCTGTAAATATTTTGTTGGGGAATATTATTAAAGGGAAAGGTGTTATATATAGTGGATTGAAATTGGAAAAAACTGTATGCTTTGTATCGTCCTGATTGTTGAAAACCGATAGTTTTATATTGAGCTGGGAAATAAATTGTTCTTGTGTATCTCAGTACTTCAGTTATTCATATTGAAATTTGATACTTACTGCACTGTAGGTCTCAATACATAACAATCATAACTAAGTGAGTAGATATTACTGGAGTTTTATTCCAACACCAAACCATTATTTCAACACCTCGACACGTGTTTTGATCACCAAGTGATCATCTTCTAGAGGAAGATCAAACTAAATATACTTACAATGTTATCCTTATTTATACTATAGATACCTCTTCTAAGTGTCTGTGGCTTAAATTAATTTTACAATGTGTCTTCCTGTAATAGTCAGGTACATCTAATAAATAAAATATTTTAACAAGCAATATAGTACTATTAGGTATTAGCCCACCATCGTTATTCATAATATAATTATAATAGCTTATTTCTACACTCTCATAGGCATCTAGATGCCTGTTGTTAACTTGTCTAACTAATCTTAATGAACTAAAGTCAATAGTCCATGATATTTTGTCCTTACATTTAATTTCGTAAATTCCAGACTTTTCTGAACACTGCATCACAAGTGAATATGTGCTCATTATAACAATAGATTTTGGAAATCAAATTGACCTGCTTTACAACTGCACAAACAACACACAATTTATCCACATCTTCATTGAAGACACCAGAGTTAATCTCACTTTGTGAGGAGAGATTTTATAACCCCAATCCATAAGGAAAACTTCAATATTCTCATCTCTACAAAGTGTTCAGCAACACCATCATATGTATATTGACAGTTCAAGGAATTGTCAGCTGTATTGGGAATGTAATTTCCAAATAATTTGTTATTATCTTGATAAATTTACCAAGGGTGCTGATGACCGGCTACGGTTGACTTTCAGCACATTTATCATAATTAGTGCATAATTTTTAACATATACCCGTTATATCAGTATACCGTTTTTATTTAATTGTTTTTCGATAATATCACACTTGGTGTTTTTGCAACAAATAATGATTGAGTAGGCGGGGTTGTATCTTGACCACAATCTTGAGGCATGATTTTTTTATTCATTCGTATACTTCTTGCAGTAACTTGTGCCAGCAATCAGTTTCGGTGCTCTAGTGGTCACTGCATTCCAGCAAGCTGGCACTGTGACTCCCATCCTGACTGTGATGATGGAAGTGATGAAACGATGGAATGTCAAAACAAAAACTGCCGTCCAGATCAATTTCAGTGTACTTTGACAAAGAAATGCATTCCCACAGGTATGGTTTAAAATTATTTCAATCACATACAAGTAGATAGCCTTCACATATCTTTTATCTTTGGCAGGATAGCAGAAGAGTTTTGTAATTCATTGTTCAATTTTAGATCATAATTTCAGAGTAGTTTTTGGCTAAACTGAACTGAACTCCAACACTCTTCTCGGCACACTGCACCAACCAAGTTGACATCATCTTGTGATGAACTATATTAATTTCTAACCCTACATCATACATCAGTAAATTTATCAGTAAATTTATCGTGACATTTTTTGCTGGTTTTACCATGGTGATTCTTATAAAAGTAAATAGAGAGCTGTTTGGAATAGGAACTTCATCACTATTCATACGTTTCATGCCACACACATATTTCCAGACTTTTGAAAGCATCCAAAAGTCTAGTGTTATTGGTTTCAAAAGTTTTGCAAAAGTAAATAGAGAGCTGTTTGGAATAGGAACTTCATCACTATTCATAATTTTCATGCCACACTTTGCTATTTCCAGATTTTCGAAAGCATCCAAAAGTCTAGTGTTATTGATTTCAAAAGTTTTGTCCGTTTCTGTGAGTCTACAATAAACTGTAATATTTCGAAGTGTTTGAAAAAATTGGCGAGAGTTGCCATACAAAATATCTAATAATTTCAGATATAAAGATGAAGTCATTTCTTATGACCAAGATATTTCTAATATTTTTGCTGAATATTTTCAATCAGTTTATAGTAATGATTCTCCAGGTGGCACCAATCTCTCTCTAGAGATCAACCTGCGAGAACTATGTATATCATCAATTTCCAAACAAGATATCTGGAAAGCAGTTAGATCCCTGAAACCCAAAACATCAACTGGAGTTGACGGTATTCCATCTTACTTTTACAAACGTTATATGGAAAACCTAATAAGATCTCTGAATATAATCTTCAATAGCGTTGTTGAAAATTGTGTGTTTCCAAAACAACTCAAAATGGGATGTATAATTCCTATCTATAAATCTGCCAATCAAAAACGCATAACAAACTCTATAGTTTATTAACAATACTCTCCTCATTATAAAAAATCTTAGAGAGAGTCTTATATAACAGACTATATGCCCATGTTGAAGACACTATCTGCAGAGAACAGCTGGTTTTGTTAATGAAAAATCAACTGTAACAAATCTCAAGGTGTTCAGCAATAACTTAGCCCTTTCGATAAATACTGGAAAACAAGTTGATGTAATCTACACACATCTAGCGAAAGCATTCAACAAAGTGAACCATGGAGTTCTCATCGCCAAATTAAGGAAATTCTCAATGAATCAATCAATGATAACATTAGTGAAGTCATATCTATCAGATAGAGAGCAATTTGTTGCTTTCAATAGAAAAAGGTCGACACTATTTAGACCAACCTCTGGCATTCCTCAGGGATCAATTCTAGGCCCACTTTTAACTTTTATTTAGAATAGAATAGTTCATTGGTGCTGTTTAACATAAAGTTTTACACAAGTCAAAATGAATATAAATAAAATAAACTAAAATTACAATGTATAAAACACACTTATATAATTTACACGTTAAAATTTTTTGCGTTTCTAGACTCTGTACATCTCGAAAATTTGATGCATTATTATAGTTATTTCTGAATTTTTTGTTGTACATTTCTTTTTTGAAATCGTATCTATACACAGTAACACTTCTGGGCTAGAATGCGTTTGTATAAGCCATTTCTTTTACACTGTAGTCCATACCGATTTTAGCGCACCTTTTGTATTTAATTTTTCTATGGGTATCAATTTCTGTAACAGTAACACGATTTTTTTTGTTAGTCTTTACATTCAAATATTCCACTATCATATTTTCGGTAACATGGTCTTTAACCCTGGATACAAACAACCAGTTTTTTTGTCCTGATCTCTTCCTGCAAATCCTTTACTTTCCCCCTCTTCATTGATTTTTGCCTCTTTGATATAAACTTTATTTTGGTTCTTTTTGTGGAGTTTATAAGTAATATTTTTAAAATCATGGTCTACTTCTGTTTGTGTCTGTGATGATATATTTTGCTGAGGGGAATCATCCTGTAAGTGTATTAGCTGATTCATTACATTTATTTGCTTGTTTTGGATTTCCTCAAAGGTAGTCGTTTGTTTTTTTTTTGTACCTGGGTCGATTTTTGTTTCATGTGGTTTATCTGCCACTTCAATTGTTTTTGTGGGAATCTTCAATTGTTAACCATTTTTATGCTGAATTCCACGATTTGCATTTTCAAATTTTGTTTCCAGAGCATCTATTTTATCTTCAAGCATTTTAATGACAGTTTCCTTATCATTAATTATTGTATTTTTATCAGCGATAATTTGTTTCAGAAGTTCATTTTCCTCTTTCAGAAATTCGTTGGGCTGAATGGGCTCCAGCTCTATTAGATTAATAATTGACACATCACAGCAAATTTTCACTTTTGCTGCACAGCTATTATGATATACAGACTCACATATATCACATTTGAGACCTATGTTTGTATTTTTTTTACAATAATTGCACGTTTTTCGGGACCTATCTGAATAGTGTACTTCACTGTCGGCCATATTTGAGAAAAAAATTTATAATGTTCATTAACAATATAGGTAATTATATAAGACATTCCAAATTCCTACTCTATGCAGATGATCTCAAACTATACCAAACCATCAACGATGAAAGGGACAGTGAAAACCTTCAGAAAGACTTAGATTCTATCACTATCTTTTATGAGACGAACAGCTTGATGCTGAATGAGGATGAATGCAAAGATATGTCTTTTTCACGGAAAAATGTTATTACTCCAACGGAATATTCAATAAATGGCACCAGACCAAAGATCTAGGAGTCATATTTAATAGTAACTTCAACTTCAGAAATCACATAGAATATATTGTACGTGATGCAAACAGTTTAGTGCCATATACACCTGTTTTTAATAATGTTTCTCTTGTATGTAATTTTAGGTGTTTATTTACTCTGTGTATTGTAAAATCATATATTTTATGTACCATGACATTGACTGTATACATATAATCAGGTGTAAACCTGCAGTTTAAATAAAATCCATCTATCTAAATCAGGGTGAATTTAACCGATGGCATGGGTTATGTGGTTTGTGGCTTATTCCCATACACCTGCGACTTAAGAATAACCCACAAGAAAAAGTCTAACGGAGTCAAATTGCACGATCTCGGGGGCCAGTTCACATCACTTCCACGTGAGATGACTACGCCCTCAAATCGCTCTTGCAGAATATCCAATGTGGCATGAGCTGGGTGGCACGTAGCACCGTCCTGTTGAACCCACATGTCGTTGGTGTCCGAATCATCCATTTCAGGCATAGTGTGCTCGCCGTTCACATTGATGGCCTGGCCAACGTCGTTCTCAAAGAAATATGGATCGATAAGGCCCCCAGCCCAAAATTCACATCAAACATCTTAGAAAGAGTCTTATATAATAGACTATATGCCCATGTTGAAGACACTATCTGCAGAGAACAGCACGGTTTTGTTAATAAAAAATCAACTGTAACAAATCTCATGGTGCTCAGCAATAACTTAGCACTCTCGATAAATACTGGAAAACAAGTTGATGTAATCTACACAGACCTTCGAGATGCATTAGACGTTCTTGGATCTCATGTGGATTGGTATCATCCCAAATTCGACAACTTTGTTTGTTCATGTACCCATTCATCCAGAAATGGGCCTCATTGAAGAAGATGATTTTTCGATGAAAATTAATGTCAGTTGTCAACTACTTCAGAGCCTATTCAGCCAACACATGTCTGTTGTCTATGGTCGTTCACCTTCAGTTCCTGAGTAAGTTGAATTTTGTATGGGTACAAGCCCAAGTCACGACGCAAAATTCTACAAAATCTACTGCCTCGGATTCTCCCGCACACTCTCACAGACAGCGGCGATGTTTTCAGCAGATCTTGCGTTTCGTCGATGTATGGGTGTTGTTCGATCGTTTACTGAACCAGTCGACTCAAATTTATCCGTCACATTGCGAATAGTCCTCTCTATAGGACGATTATGGAGACTGTAAAATGGGCGAAGCGTGTGGTACGATTTCCAAACAGAACACCCATTTTGATAATACAATTTTACTAGTTGCACGTATTGTTGAATGATTTGGCAAAACGGACTAATATGACAGATGTAGCTTCAACAAGATGGCCGTTATCGATTGTCAAAGTTCCAATGTTTATTTAGGGAAGACCCTATATAAACATTGTTCAATTATTTTTTCAATTGAACATTGCTGTCAGCAATATTCAATATTTATCTCTATCCAGATACTGTACTTGACATAGATCTTGCCATTTAAAGGCATTAAAAATTTATTTCTACTCTCTCCAGGTTTACCTGATATTCAATGTCTTATTAAAAAAGATAACACTCTTCCAAACACTCAAATTGAATGACGATGTTACTAAGATTCTGGCATCAAAGGAAATAATTGGAGCTTCTCATCTATATAATATTCAATCTGTGGTTCCATCAAATCGAATCAATACGTTTCATACTCTTCTAATATTTGAACAACTATAAAATGTATTACCTGAACTATTAAATTGACAAATTATTACTAAAACAACCATTTTGATACAAAAACTGTACTAATTTTAATGTTTTTTCAAGTACTTCAATCCATATTAGAATTAAATATATTTTGTTAGATATACTGGTTATGAATATTGGGAGAAAACGTTTAAAAAACTGTTTTTTCAATCTTACACAACATTAACCGCAAAGGGCTTAACATATATTAAAATAGTTTTTCATCATTTTCCTCTGAAATATTGAAAATATCTTTTTTTTTATGTTCGTTAGAAAGTTGACAATCTCACTAGCTCATTACAAACATTTATATTCAGGTTGGGTGTGTGATGAGGAAAAAGACTGTGGAGTATCTCCTGAATTGGGACCAGATTTCTCTGATGAGGACCCACATAACTGCACCAAAGGGTGGCAGTGTAAGTGGAATGAAGCAGCTTGTGGAGTAGGCTTGGAATGCATACCAGTCAAGAAGTTTTGTGATGGCCATCGAGACTGTGAGGCAAATAGTGATGAGTGGGATTTCTGCCGGAATTACTCTGCAGCTTGTGACAGGTTGGTAAAATTCATACAACATATATTATATCTATCAGCAAACATGATAAAAGTATATCTTTCAAATTCAAAAATGCCTCTACCTTCACAAACCATAAGATCTTTTGCTTTTAATTTGGTTTAAAGGTTCAATTAATAATGAAGTGTACACAAGTATTTACACTTGGCAAAACGCCAACCGACGTATTAAGAGTCCTTCTGACAGGTTTTTGACATATGTGGTTGTCTATTTGAATTCATATAATTCCTATCACTTTATAAATTGTCTCATTCGGAAAGAATTTGTATTATGCAGTTATCTAGTACAAAGGGTTATTTTTGGCCCATTGAAAATATCTGCATGTGGCCTATTTTCTTTTTGTATTCGAATTGTTCAATGTTGCCTAATATTTGAGTTGAAATCTAAACTCTGTTTAAATTCGACTGCAAAATCAACCAGACACTCGCATTTTTTCAAAAAATTTGCATTCATTTAATTGAATCAATGAGAATTATTATGAATTCTTGAAAAACATACAATTATTGACAAGTGATATGAATACAAAAGTTTTCAAGAAAAAAGAACGAACATTTTACCTAATATCAATTAATTAACAAGATATTTCTTCTATTTCAAATTGAATTTTGTAAACGATAGATGTATCACTGGTTGTTTTTAAAATATTCACCAAAATCTAGAATTGTTGAATTTTATTTATTGGTTCTACCACCTCTATTTCACATTTTGCACATTCGATGTGCAAAAATTCAATTAGATATGCGAAAAATATATCTATTTACAACGCCCATTGGAGTGTTCAAAAGGGAAATTAGACATATTCTTTCCAAATGATGTATGTGAAAATTTATTCCTCTCTATTCATACATGTTATTCATTTATACATGTTATTATGTTTTCTTGCCATTGATTGTTTTTTTTTTTGTTATTATGATTTAACATTTTCTACCAATTATTGAATGATTTAATTTAGTTCTTGTTCACAAATACATGTATAGTTTGTAAAAGCTGTCCTTTAACTGGGTCTTATGCCTGTTTGGGCAATAAATGTTTTTTTTTTGTTTTCAAATGATACAAATCTGATACAAACCAATTTGCAATGCGACGTTTCATTCATTATATTTTATCAACAACTTCATGTGTTTCCCAACGTTTTTTTCATCATCACTCTATGGTCATACAATTCTCGGTCAGTGCTACCTCAAAAAAAACAAGGAAACCAATATTTTTTGGGTCTAGAACTCAAAGCTGTAGATAAACTTCACATATTGGCCATCCATCGTTCCTTGAACACATATTCATTCTTGCAATAGTATTTTTATGTCAATTTTCCAACATCTGTGGAGATATACAAGACGTCAATATTGGCAAAAGTTGAGCCGAATACCTTGTATTCAATGAAGACCTACAATGAGAAGTCCAGAAGGGTTAGGTCAGTTGAACGTGGTGGCCATTTAATAGGACCATTGTTTCCTATCCATTTTCCTGTCATAGTCGTATCGAGAAAATCTCTGCAAATAGTTCTGCGATGTGGTGGAGCTCCATTATGTTGAAAATACTGATATTTTCTCCAAACATTCAAATCAAATCTTCCAACATCTCAACTAGAGCTTCAGACAAGAATTCCAAATATAATTCCCTTGTCAAAGATGTCTAAAATAAGTATAGCGGACATATAATTTTGCTGTCTAGCACACCAAACCAAACATTAACTCAAAATCTCTTCTGGAAATTTGTAGCTCTATGTAGAAAATAATATTCTTGTCGCAAGTGATAATGATCATTTCTTTTGAACCATCCCTTATTTGTGAATCTATTCTCATTGCATAATAAAATTTTATTACAGACTTCATTATCTTGATGATGTCTGAGTAGTCATCTTCAAAATATTTTTCGCTTATCATAGTCTGTTGAACGCAAATGGTGGATTTTTCTGACTTTGTAAGTTCTAAATTTATTTCTTCTCAAACTTTTCGAACTGACATAGTTGATATAGCCCTATGATGTTCAATCTCTTTCAATGATACTGCTTTGTTCCCCATTTTTCAGTATTTCACAAACTTTGAATCGAATAAATATCACTTCATTATTACTGAGAATGCCCTCTGAACTTAGAACTCACACAAAACGCCAATTTCAGTATCACCAAACTCTTCTACTTACTGTACAACTCTTACTCGAGGTTTTTCAAATTAACCATGATTCCGTAAACTCCTCTCAATGCGTTAAAAATATCTTTTAGAGATATATTCTAGTTCCTCAAAATGAAAAACCAATTTAACCGACCTTATAGGTATTATTACTGTTAGTAACGCAGCTTATGTCATCGCTGTCAAAATATTATTTGTTTATAAAAAAAAAAAAAATCGCTGTTGTATTTTTCTCAAAGAATTTTGCATTGTATCAAACGAACTTAAGAATTCTGTGTATAAGAATTCGGTTTAACCTTTTTTTTTTAAATTTATTGACAACATTTGTGTTTAGTTTTTAGCATTTTACTTCTTTGACTAGTTCAATAAGTTTTCTCATGTATTTAATCTTGTAATTGTGTATGTGTGAAAATTATAATGATGAATAAAACTATTTCAATTTTAGCCAAATTTTTGAGCTGGCGATAAATATCTCTCAACTCATTTGATATGTTAATTTGTATTGGGAATTTATCGCTCTCCTTCATATACATATAGAGAATAAAACTGTTTGATGCTGCAAATAATAGTTCCAAAACCGTCTAATTTACATTACTTTACAGCAATTGAATATATAAGTTGCAATTGACGAAGGCTGATATATTACACGCTTGAGTAACAAATAGCATGTGCTAGCGCCGCAAAACTTGTACTGTGCTGTTGAACAAATTCTCTGGGATTAGTGTCATAGAAAGTCTCTGTCGGCTCTTTTTTGTATAATAGATCTACAAGTTTTCCTATCTAATAATCAAATAAGAAATACAAAATATTTGTCCTTTGAACATCATTGTATGATTTCATGTTTATCTTTTATATTTGTGGTAGGTTACAATGTACATTTGGATGTAAACCAACCCCCAAGGGTCCTCAGTGCTATTGCCCAGATGGAAAAAGGCCTGATGGCAATAAATGTGTTAATGTTGATGAATGTGAGTTTGATGATACTTGCGCCCAGCTATGTACAAACACAATAGGATCTTTTGAATGCTCATGCGTATCTGGTTACCAAGTGAACGGAACCGACTGCATTGCTATAAATGGTGAGTACGTAAAGAAAATATATACCTGATACATAATTCAAATTTGTAACAAAAAACCTAAAAATTATGATGTTCAAAAAATAAGGTGAATGTTCAAATTTTGCGGGCTACATACATTCGATTAGCGATTTTTAAAATTTTTTTATGTTGGTACACATCTCTTACGTTCACATTTTTAGATGTTTAGCATGTTTAGTTTGTTGGTGAGAGGCATAAAAGTTAGAAGTCATGAAAAATGAGAATTGAAACTTTCTATGTTTTTTACCACTCCTATTTGTAACTAAAGTTACTTTAGTTTTGTCCTATATTCAATCTACATATATCAACGGCTAGCCATGAAAATGCTAGGATTTATCAAATGGCTAACCCAAGAATTCACTGGCACAACTGCTATTAAAGCCCTTTATTGTTCACTGGTCCGTCCACACCTGGAGTATTGTTCTTCTGTCTGGTCCCCTCATTGTGTAACTTATATTAGGAACATCGAAAATGTCCAACACAACTTCCTCAGATACATAGTATATAGATCGGGTGTTCGTTGCAAGTATAAGTTGCTACTGCAATCTCTGAGTATGTCCTCCCTGGAAACTAGGAGGAAATAGAGAGATCTGACACTACTTTTCAATATTATTAACGGCAAATTCAGTTGTCCTGAACTCCTAGAAAAAATGTATCTACATGTTCAAAACCGCTCAACTCGACAGCAACAAACATTGCACGTACCATTTTATTGTTTGAACCACACATTCAATAGCTGCATTCCAAGAATCTTACGATTAGCCAATAGTAATGTTAATGTTGAGATGTTTAACATCTTGCATCATTTTTAAACTCAATTATGGAATACTGTGCTTTAATGTTTTAGTGTATAGTTTATGGTAGTATATGTGGTATGTTTTATTGTCGATCACTGTTTTTTGTCGTTTAATACTCTAAAATTAACCTCTTTTTAGACTTTAAATTTACCGCTTTCAAGCTATTCTTAGTTGGAATTTGTCATTCAGTACCTTATCTGATTTTATTTTAGTTATATTTTAACATTGTAATTTATACTTTAAACGGGCTTTCCCGTAAATAAATAAATAAATGTCTTATAAGACGAAACTGCAATAACTTTAGTCAAAAATAAAAGTGGTAAAAAACATAGTAGTAACCGCTACATCCATCAATTTATTGAAAGTTATGTGTTTTGCGTGTTCGGCAATTTTCTGCTATCGAAAAGAGTGGATCAAAGATTTTGCATAAAATTTTGTGGAATTAAGTGCTCAAAAAACACTTGAAATGTTGACAGTGGCATACGGTGATTGTACTGTGAGCCTGAAAAACGTGTATAAAAAGTGGTTCATGCTTTTCACAGAAGGTCGAGAAGATGTGAATAACAATGCTCACCTTGGACGTCCCAGTACATCAACAACCAATGAAAATGTTGAGAAAATGAAGAAAATTGTTAAATAGAATTGTTGAATTACTATTAGAGAAATTGCTGAGGATGTCGGCATATCGGTTAGTTAATGCAATGCTAGTTTTTCGTAAATTTCGGGCACGAAGCGTGTGGCAGCGAAGTTTGTTTCAAAATTGCTGAATTTAGACGTAAAAAAACCGTCCCATGAACATCGCTCTGGAATCGTTGAATGAGGTCAACGGCGATCCAGATTTTCTCAAAAGGGTCATAACTGGTGACGAATCATAGGTATATGTTTATTGCGGCAGTTGTATCGCCAACAGCATATGCAGGAATAACTTCTGTGAAGAATCCTGCACTGACACCTGTTGGATATAATCCAACGCCCTTCGTGGTATTAGCCAGGGGAGTAGTTGTTTTCTGATAGGTGTCAGTCCATTAACCTACTGTGTAGGGAGATGAGACTGGCCTGAATGAATTGTTCTTAGATAATTTGATTTATAGCCAATCTACAAGTATGCCCACTGACTATATGTGAAAATATTACTTTGAAACCAAAGTCCAATCAATCCAATGGAAGAGCCCAGGAGAGCCAAGACCAAGAAGAGCACGCCAATTTCGATCAAATGTCAAGGTTATGCTCACTGTTTTCTTCAATTACTGTGGCATAGTGCATCAGGAGTTTTTGCCACATGGTTGTACGGTCAATAACGAGTATTATCTTGAAGTTATGCGGCGCTTGTGAGAAACAATACGAAGAAAACGTCCGGTATTCTGCTTAAAAAGTGCATGGCTTTTGCATCACGTTAATGCACTTGCTCACTCGTCATTGCTTGTTCGTAATTTTTTTGTTTAAAAACACCTTAATCGTGCCTTAGCCACCGTATTCACCAGATTGTACCCCTGTGATTTTTCATGTTCTCAAGATTGAAGAGTCCATGAAAGGACAGTGTTTTACGACGATGAAGGAGATAAATAGCAATCGTTGAGAAGATCTTAAGGACCAAAAAGTGCATATCAGAACAGCTTCGAGAATTGGAAAAAACGCTGCCACAAGTGTATTAAATATGAGGGAGATTATTATGGGGCGTACAAAATATTAATTGATGAATGAATGAATAATTTTTTGTGAAAAATAAAAATTCACCTTATTTTTTGAACAGACAGCGTATTCTGAATATGTAATAAACACTTTAGATCTTTGACATTGGGTCTTATTTAGAAGAATATTGTACTATTTTGTTTTTGTTTTTACTGTTTTAATATAATTAGGTGTAATTGATTTTTTTGTTTGAAATATTTCAATGCCAATATTTGAATTCATTTTCAATTATTTCTGTCTCTCTACATTTTTTACTGCAAGCAGGTAGATAGGTCAAACTGTCATAGATCTTAAAATGACAGCTAAACTTAAATGTTACATTCTTGACCACGTTAAACGCCAGCAAACAGCACTGTCTTGTGTTAGATCACAAATACTAGCTATGGTGTCGTCTACTATTGATATTGTTAAAATTAATATACTATTAAATGAAACTAGAAGAAATCCGTCAGTATTTTGATTCTGAATTTTTCATTAGTTGGTTAATGTTAAAATCCACCCATGAAAGAAACAATATGGTTAAGGGGTTTAAATTATTTACAACAAATGATTGCCTTATTGTCTTCACGAACGATAATAACTTGCTCCTTAAAACAATATCTTACAGTTCCAGCTTCAGAACCCCCATCTCTGATCTTCTCAACCCAAACGGAAATAAAAAGGGTTACCTTAGATGGAAAGGCTTTTCCTGGAAACTCTACTCTCCATCTTTTGAACAGCAATGCTTTGGAATTCATTCATCGTAATCACACAGTATGCTATGTCCATCACAATCTCACTAAAGCATCATTAGTTTGTGCCAATATTAACGATCTCAACAACCGCTGGGTCATGAGTTCTGATTCACCTCTATTGGAAATTGAGGCAATTCAACAGATGGTATTCGATTGGATAACAGGGAATTGGTACTTCATGGATGACCAAAGAGAGGTGATTATATATTATGTTTCTGTTGTTGAACAAAAATTTCATTCATTATTACTATTGAAAATTGTTGAAATATTTATTCAATCTTGTTTCTTTCTTTGCCTATAAAAACAATTGATTTTGAAATATACTAAAACCAACTGTTTGAAATTGTTCATAACAGTAATTTCACCAGGCTTTTGAAAATATAATTTTTCATTCCAAAATTGAATTTTTTTGCCTCTTGTTATTATAAATGATGTATTTTTTTAGGTGATTATTGTGTGTACAAATAACTTGCGCTGGTGTAACATGCTCATTGAGTACGATTTGAGTAAGCCACGGTCACTAGCACTTGACCCTACTAGCGGATATCTATTTTTCACTAAGTGGGGAAATTCAGCACCTATGTTAGAGCGTGTTGGTATGGACGGGCTTTCAAGAATGCCTATTGTAGATCACACAATTGTCTATCCATATGGAGTTGCAGTAGACTTTCCAAAGAAACGAGTGTATTGGATAGATACATACTTGGATTATGTGGAAACCGTAGATTATGATGGAAAGAACAGAAAAACAGTTTTGAGAGGTCCAAAGGTACGAAATTTGTATGGGATTTCAATTTTTCAGAATAAACTGTTTGTTTCATCGTGGTTTAATAATAGTATCTTCGAGTTGGATAAATCTGGACATGAGGAAAAGACACTTGTAGCAAATATGAGTAGACCATTTAATGTATATGTGTTCCATAGGCAGCGACAACCTGATGGTGAGTATATAATATATCAGTGAAAACAATAAATCAATTGGTTTACAAAATATCTATCCATGGTCTTCTTATTTATATAGGAAACGATCTGCCTTCTCTTTAAAAGTAGAAACTTGTTTAACAACTTGGACGAGCCAATGTTTAAAACCAGGCAAAGATTCAGCTTCAATTTACCGCTGCCTTCTTTGTTTTTATTTAAAGATTCTATTATTTACAACGGTTTCTAAATGTTCAATCACCTTCCTCAAACTATAAGAACCATAAATGGCCTTAGTGCTCTTAAGAGAAAGCTGAAAGACTTGCTTTCTGAGAGACCTTATATAGCTTAGCTGAATTCTACAATGATAATTTCAATTGAGTATGACTATCTGTAATAGCTATGATATTTTTTTGATTTAATTTAATTTATTTCATTTGATTGACCATGTTCTTATATTCTGAACGTTTTTATCAGGTTATTGTTATTTGCAAGTCTCTTTTCAGTTCATGTAATCACTTACTTTGTGATTATATTTATATTTTTTCACCAGGCTTCGTCAATAAGAATTTATTCTTCAGACAATAAAGTTTATATTGAATTAAAGTGAATAATCTTCCGAATAAAAATAAGATATTGAAAAATAATAGCAGGAAAATGACAATGAAGGTATGACAGCTCTTGCCTTTATTGGCAATGACAATAAAAAGTATATAAGCTAAAAAATCTGAAATTAGATTAAACCCAAAAAAATCTAGATGAAGAACTATACAATAATAATGATAATAACAATGATTTATTTTCCCGAAAAACATAAATGTTTATAGTATGGAAAAAAATAATTCAAAACTGTAACATAGCTAAGTACGAAGAGAATATAAAAAAAGATAGATCAGAACTGAAACTTAAAAAAAAAAGATGATTGAATACACTTGAGAATCTCAAACATTATTATCAACATACACATAAATACACTTTCTAATGATTTTCTCAGTTTGTGTATCAGTCTTGATATTTGGACTTGTAATGACAGTTATTTATTTTTCAGTGGCTCATCCATGTAAGTCAAATCATGACTGTGAACACCTTTGTATTCCTGTTTGGAATCGTCAAATAGCTATTAAAAAATGTATCTGTGCATCAGGCTATGTCCTTGTGAACAACACTAAATGTGCCATGAAAACGCCTTCAACTTTTTTGTTGCTATCGAAAAGCCGTCCATTTTCCATTAAAGCTGTAGATTTAGAGACTGGAAATGATGCCATGGTGCCACTGACAAGAATAGGACGACCTAAAGGTCTGGATTATGACGTAAAGACCATGTCAATTTTCTATTCTGACATACAATCCATGACCATAGAAATGGTTCCTATTAGCAACACGACCAACCACACAATTTTAGCAAAAAACGTACTTTGTGATGGTTTAGCTTTGGATTGGATCTCTCGGAATATTTACTGGACAAGTTTGGAGAAGAATTCGTTAGGCGTTATACAGTTATCAAATACTTCAGTATCCAAAACTCTCATTCAGAATGCTAATTTCACGCCGACGTCCATAGCAGTGGATCCTACAAGAGGTAAAAGTCAAAATCATTTTTCCAAATTTCATTTTGATGTAGTATGAGACCATAGTAGTGAAAAAGGAAAGAATTTCATTGGCATATAATAACTAAATAAAATGATATCATCCGACTTGAAGGAGGTGAAGAGCTGGTGCAATGCAAATTTACTCTCGCTCAATGCATTTAAAACGAATATAATATCATTCAAATATTCGCTTGATGAAATTCCAATAGACGCTGCCATATTACAAAATTAATTTAACACAAAATTTCCCGGTGTATTCATTGATAATAGGCTGAAACTTAATGAACACCTTAAACAACTCAAGAGTAGGATCTCCTCCGGATGTTATGCAGCTAGAGTGGTTTCAAATGAGTTGGGTTTCCATATCGCAAAGACCGTTTACCATGCACTTATTGAATCTCGACCACGTTATGGAATATCTTTTTGGGGAGCATGCGACTCATCCCTTCTCTCTTCTGTATTAATATTACAGAAGAGGTTACTGAGATGTCTCTGTAAAGTCAAACTCAGAGAATCGTGCAGGAACTTGCTCACTGCTAATAAAATTTTAACAGTCATTGCACTATTTATCCTAGAGACAGTTTGCCTTATTTATAAACATAAATCAAAGTTCAAGTTTGCTTCTACTCCTTATGCTACTCGTAATAGCAATTATACCTTTAGACTTCCTATCCCAACTTTGAATTTGATGGTGAAGAACCTACTTGTTTATAGACCCTATTATAGTTTGGAAGAGTATTTTAACAAATAACATAAACTTTATACATGGTGGTGTTTTATCTATACATTTTTAGAACTTTTTTATATTTACATTTATACATTTTTGAAACTTTTTTATATCTACATTTATGCTTTTTAGAATTTTTTCTATATCTACATTGTATTTCTTGGAATGTATCAATAAGATGCCATTCTTCGGACAATAAAGTATATTTTGATTTGATTTGATGTTATTCTACTAGATAATCATTATGGATGATTATTTGTTAATTTTAATTATTTCGTTGTTTTGATATTCCTTGTCTGTATTATTTAATATCCAATTATAAATTTCAATAAAAACTTATATTGTTGGATATTCAGTGGAATAAAAAATTTTTAAAAAAGCAAGTTTGGTAGTAACAGCACCAAGAAATGCAATTGCCTTTCAGTAAATATGACGAAAGAAGTTTGAATTTCTCAGACATAACTCGATGTACAAAAAACATACATATTCCATGATTCCAAAAATAATTCATTTAAATGTTTTAGAAAAAAACTTATGTATCTATAAGAAGTGCACACAAGCTACTACGATAATTTCAAAAACAAAAAACAAGCTCAGTGTTTTGCAAAGTTTGGCTTTGACTGTAAATTCATTTTCAAGAAAGTATGACTACACTGATGTCTCAATCTGCCTACTTCTCAGGTAGTGACATGCAAGGTTTTTCTGACTTGATGTCAGGGCCTCAATACGCATACTTAGCCTTCGCTAGTGGTACAGCCAAGTTTGATAGAAAGACAATACTTGAATCTATTGACAACACTTTCCCAGCCTTTCCCACCAGAACAAAAATTACTCAACGCGCGTCTCGACATACCAAGTGACCGTTTTTTTTTTCACCCCTTTTCGTAGCCAATTGTTGCCTATCCTTTACACTTGACTTAGCGTACATAGGTTCCTGCGGTTTGCCCACTTTCCTATGACTGCTAGTTCAATAGTTCTCTTCCATTAATTTATACAATATCATTCATTATCCATCATTCATTTACACATATACTTACTAGATTTTTATCAAGAATTACATATGAATCAATTCATTTGAAGTAATATAAAATATATTCATTAGTATTATATTTCAACAGGAGTGATGTTTTGGGCTCATTGGTCGAGTATGTCACCTGAAGATGGGAGGATCGATACTGCTCAAATGGACGGAAAAAACATAAAATCATTTATCACTGATGACATAGATTGGCCCACAGGTCTGGCAATTGATATTTTGGGAAAGAAGTTGTATTGGTCTGATAAACATTTACATTGGATACAGAGCATCAATTTAGATGGAAGTAATAAACAAACCGAAATCAAGATGGGTATAGATTCACCTTCATCTGTTAGCCTTGCTATTGGCGTTGGAATGCAAAAGCATTTATACTTCATTGAAATGACAAAAGGGTCTATCATGGCTTACAGAAATGAGACGGGTTTGAAGAAAATCTTTCAAGGAAATTTGCCTCTTTATGATATTAAATTGGTCGATGCTGACATACAAAAAGGTATGAAATCATTAAATCTGCCATATTGATTCTCAAAAAGATGAAAGTGGAAAGTAATCACAAACAAAATTGAGTTAGATAAAAACTAAAACCAATTTCGTTTCTCTTGATATTGATATTCTATATGGTATAATGATTTGAATAGTTTAAATACAGTTGGGTTACAGTAATTTCGTAAATATCTATAATTCTTACACATCTAAAATAAATACGATCCATCGATTTCCAGTTTTATTTTGTTTGATGGTTTTCTAATAATCTCATTTATAATTTTATTAAATATTACACTTAGATAAAAATATTACAATTGAAGTGGTTACATCTGAAGTTAGTAACAGTTTATATTTTCCTTCCTGTAAAGTTTATATTTCAATTGGGGTTAATTGCGGTTACAAGTAAGATAAATGATATGAAAAATTTTTGACTCATCGCCTTGCTGTGTACCTTTGAAAAATACTTTGAGATATGTATCTATAATAGAATATCTCACAAAGTACAAAATATAATAACTCTTGAACACACAAACAATAAGTCGTGCTTTAGGAAATCAGCTTCAGGTAGACACAATATACACAGACTCGTCAAAGGCCTTCGACAAGTTACACCACACCATACTCATTTCAAAACTCGATGAAATTGGTTTTCATTCAAATCTGCTACAATTCTTTCATTCCTATTTTACAAATCGGTCCCAGTTTGTCCCCACTCACTTTAAGTAAATGTAAATATACCATATTGTGTAATAAACATACCACTTTTGACAATTATTTGATAAATGATTATTTACTTGTGCAAAGGTGTGGGAGTATTCTTTGACACTAAACTCTCATAGAGAGACATGTGACTGCTGTGAAAAGAATGTTAGGGCTTATATTTAGGAATTGTAAAGATTTCAAAGGCATGGAAAGTTTTATTACTCTTTTCAACTCATTTATCAGATTCCATTTAGAATATGGCTGTCTTATCTGGTCACCTATATATACTACACACATTCAATCGCTTGAATCTGTCCAACAACGGTTTAAGAAATATGTTATCTACAAACTAGATAATGCCTACCCCAGACAGGGAATAGTTAATAATATATTGTTGAAGCAATTTCATTTTTTATCTTTTGAAGACAGAAGAACTTATCATTCTTGCATATTTATATACAAACTGGTAAACAATCTTGTCAACTCAACAAAGCGATTGTTTCAACTAGAGCAGGGGTCTCCAAACTACGGCCCGCGGGCCAAATCCGGCCCACCAGTTTCATCAATCCGGCCCGCGACAGCCAATGATTTACTGTCATCAATCTGGCCCGCGGCAACCAATGATTACCTAATTGTTGTTACTATTGCTGTGATAAGTTGAAGAAGAAAACACAGAATGGTAATTACTCGGTTTTATTTACTTGCAAGGTAAAACTTAACGACAGAAATGATGACAAACAAAACTTAACTGAAGTATATAAGTTTAAGCATATTAATAACTAACAAATAATTGAATTGAATCACAGTAAAACAAAAACACTAATGAGATTTATGTAATTGTGATTTTCCACCGACAATACTTTGTAGTTGTGGATCAATTTTACTTGTACCAATTATCAAAACAGATTTAAGATGATCATCGGTTAATTGAGATCTGTAAAAGTTCTTTGTGTACTTCATTTTGGAAAACGTTTTCTCACACAAGTATGTAGTACCAAAAACAGAAAACAACCCACGAGCAAATTTATGTAAATTATCAAATTGTACCAATGGAAGACTTATAAAATTCCAACAAAGATGAATTTTGATATTTGTTCTTAAGCATATAAGCTGGCGCGAGTTGCAGACTCTTGTTCAGTATTCGCTTTGGTAAACAAAGATTGCTCCGATTTGAGTCCGCATTTCAAAGCTTCAATTTTTTCCTTCCGCAAACTTCCTGTATACTTGGAGTAACTTTGAAGATGTTTTGATTCATAGTGTCGTTTAATGTTATTAGTATTTGAGAACAGCTATGGTTTCATTACAAATTAAACATAGCGCCTTATTACTGGACTCGAATCACAAAATACTGAAAGTTCCATTTTTCTTGGAACGTTCTGCATTCATAGTCGATTTTTCGCTTCTTTTCCATACTAACAAATCACACATAAAAACAATAAGTCAAATCGAAATACTTTTATTGACGGGTGTTACTTTATTTCACAATAGACAGTTTCGCTTCCTTCGCCTTTCCTACGCAGACTAACTCGCGGTTGCGCCGCTAGCCTTTTTATATGCAATTATTACTGCCATCTCGAGGTGATCGGAATACACTAGCTAGAACTAGAACTTTCTCAAACCAACGCGGTAATTTCAAATATTTAATTACGCCTAATGCCACCTAACAGGTAGCTGAAAAAGATAGTACATAGTACCACTACTCGCCACTAGATGTCGTTAAGTGTCACAATACACAATAATAATTGAAATGCAAAAAAACCGTAAGTTTGCTTAGGTCACGCACTTTGCGACTAGAAATATAGTTAAGGGCAGAAATTGACCTTTGGAACAAACTGAAAAAAACATTATGGCCCGAAGGCTTCAAAGTTTGGAGACCCCTGAACTAGAGTTTCATGTGCCAAGAATCAGTGATAGAACTGAACAATGTTTTTACCTACCAACACCGAGAACAAATATGTGATTCAAATCTCCCTTATTTGCAATGTGCTATAAATTAAATCAAGTCTGTCAGAAAGTAGACATTTATTCAAAACCATTGAATATATTCAGAAAAGAGATAAAAATATTATGTTTGGGGAGCAACAAATACTTATTTAAAATTTGTTTTTTATTCCGCAAAGGCTTTATTGTTACGATATATGTATATTTCCTGTATTCAACACATTTATCACAAAACGGTATATTATGTATACAAATCTTCAAAGACTTACTTGAAATTTCTTTTTTTTTCTTTTGAATATTCCATGAATGTATTACTATTACTATATTTATATATTTCCTATATTTAAACTTTCATCCCAAAATAGTGTACTCTGTCCTGTAATCGGGTTTAGGGCGTGTTTGGACAATATAAGTTTATTTTCCTATTACAATTCCATTATCAACATAACAGTATTGATAGATATTGATGCTTGTCAACAGGAGAAAATGGCTGTTCAAATTCCACCTGTCCAGAACTCTGTTTACCAATTCCCAGCAACAAATCAGTGTGTGCTTGTTCAGATGGTTTTGCGTTCTCCAACAACACTTGCGTCAAACTAGAAAACTACACTACACCATCTTTCTGTCCTTCAGATTCTTTCCAGTGTTTCCATAACCAGCACTGTATACCTAACACTTATCTATGTGATGGCGTTGACAACTGTAAGGATGGTTCAGACGAATCGTCGGATCCGGGAGGTCCTTGTGAACACGTGTCTTGCGGAGAAAGCCAGGTGAGGTGTGACAAAACCACTTGCATAGCCAAGCATTGGATTTGTGATGGCGAGAAGGACTGCTTTGATGGATACGATGAAAATCCTTCTTTGTGTTCCGAAATTTGTCTACCAACACAGTTTAAATGTAATAACTCCCGAAGATGTATACCAATGGTTTGGCGGTGTGACAATGTCCACGATTGTGGATTTGATGATCATAGCGATGAAACAGATTGCAGTAAGTATGTAGCAGTTGATGAAATAAAATCATAACTAGATTCAACGGGCTGCAAATAATAGTTGTAGTTAGGTGTGTTATCTCTCATGGTTTAATCCTTCGACCTAACTTTTCTCAACTCATAAGACATAATGATTAATGCAACGTATTAGATAAAAAGAAAACAAATTTTATATTTACTACTAATGAATTGAACTTCAACAATAATAGTAGTAATGATGAAGAACAAACAATGAAATATATTTCTTCAGAAAAGGTGTTCGAAATATCAGCTTCTCCTACACACAGGCGACACTTTTTCTGAATGTTCTTTGCCGAATTAATTAGTTCAGTAAGAGTGAGACAAGAAAAACTTTGCATCACTGCTGCTTTCAATTAGTATCTAGAATTGGTCGGCAATTTGAAATTAAGATCTTTTAACCTTCCCCAGAGGTGAAAGTCCATAGGCGTTAGGTCCGGTGACCAGGCCGGCCAACGGTTGTGTCTCGGTTATCCAATTATTTCCAAAATTTGCAGCCAAAAATTTATCTTAAAATTACTAAATACCTCCGAGATGTGAGAGTGCCATTATAAATGAACGGGTCAAAAATTCTACCCCTGAAAACACCTGCCCACACACGGAATCTGGATTGAAAATTAAGAGATCACCTTCAACAAATCTTTCAGAACTTTCGATAAGCGTGATTATAAAAGGTGCGACTGAGGTTGCAGTAAAACCAGTTGACCATCTTTCCTGATGTACCTATGTAAAGAAAGAAGGAAAAAAAAACATGTACTTTGAGGCCTTTCCCGCTTCAGATTCTGATCAATATCCAATGCTGGTCGATCTGGTTGTGGTATTTTGCAAACAGTTTTTTTTCAAAACAGCTAGCATTATTGCACAAAGTTTCATAGTATGGCCTACACTCGCACTGATATTGTTAGCACTTAACATTTCGTGAAAATTTGAAATAAAATCATTTACAGCAAAAGAACCGGGTCTAGGTCTCTTCGGTGAGTTTTCTGTATTTAAATTTTCTATTATATATTATATTCTATATTAAATTTGTTACTAAAAATTGTGAGTTATAGTGTCGGTATGTCTCTCGACGCTCGTTTTGCTAATTGAGTTAGCGAAACGCTATGTTGATGTTTTTATATGTGTCTTCACGGATCATTACCTAGCATAATGAGGGTCAAGTAATCAATAATAATAATAATGATAATAATAGNGTAATTACAGTTTTTTTTCGCTTAATATAATTGTTATTTTATTCAGCTAATCTTTTCAATTTTTTTTAGATTCTTTCAGGGATTTCAAATCAATTTATATCATATTAGTCAATGGAAGTCCGAACTAATGACATAACAGAAAGTCTGAATACCTTTGATAACAAATTGAAAAAAAATTTGCTCTGTCATGACTCGAGATCTCTTATAATAACAGAATGTTTTCTGTTAAGTATTAGAACATACAACAGAACTACTCACTGAAAACTATCCATTCAGAGATCACCCATTCAGAGAGCACTGTAAATATTAGGTTTCAATCTTAGATCTGCAGAGAAAATCATATATTACTCAAATCATATATTGCTCAATTGATAGATCAATAATCGAATACAACTCCACAATTTGGTGTCCTTCATATAATGTGGATATTGATATGCTTGAAAGTGTTCAAAACAAGTTTTTAAGGTTCTCTGCATACAAACTGGGATATCATATTGGCGAATCTAATATTTAAAAATGGATGTTTGTTGGTTGGTTGGTTGGTAAGTGAATCGCTCAGCCGATCGTGATGAAACTTGACATGTATAGGTAATTTTTCATAGAGAAGGTTTTTAGGCTATCAATTTTTCTGTAACTCGCCACTAGATGGCGCTGTAAAACAATTTTTTTTGAAAACACTATTCTATAACGCTGCGCACGCCTAAGTTCGTTGATTCTGTTGAAATATTGGAACAGCAACGATACAGCAACATAGTACTATTTTGTACGACAACTACCAAATTCTACGCGGGCGAAGTCGCTGGCAACAGCTAGTAAAACTATAAAATTATATTGGATATTCTTAACTTGAATACTCTGGTTCATAGAAGATTAGAATCAGGTATTAAAGTAATTCACAGAATAATCAATGATAGCATTAATTCCTCGGGATTTGTTGAACTTATAACTTTAAAAGTGAATCCAAAGAGAACAAGAAATACAGAAATCTTCAAAGTACTCTTTCATCAGACCAACTATGGCCAGAATGAGTCTATAGGTAGAACTTTTACAACACTTACCATGTGGATTTAAAACTTTTTAATTTTTCTTTGGAATCACTCAAATAGACTAAAAAGATTGTAATTGATTGTCTTATTTTTGCCTTTCTTTTTTTATATCTTACATCTAGCTGATAGTTATAGTACGTATGTGTGGATTTGTTAATTATTTTGTAAAAAATTGGCAATGCCGTAAATAAATAAATAATGCCATATAATTCATACATGAAGTTTTATACACCACAGTACTAAAACTTGTCAGTATAATCAATTACAGATATTCTAAACACAAATAGGAAAAAAATACAGGTGTTTTTAAACTTATGACTTGAACGTCATTCTTCTTGGATTAGAAAAATGTACTCATGTTGAATGTTAAAACTCCCAATACACTTGGATATATTTACAGAAGAACTAGCACATTCATCTAAATCCATTCCCTTTTGGTTGGGAAAAAAATAATCGGATTCACTGCTTTTTTATTTCAGTATATTTACATTTATCATTTTGATCTGTTTCAAGAGAACTCTACCTGCGAAATGAACGAATTCATGTGTAAAAGCGGCCGGTGCATAGCGGCCGATTTCTACTGTGACTCAATAAAGGATTGTGATGACGGTTCTGATGAAGAAGGTTGTCTCACCTGTGATCCCCAATTAGAAATACCTTGTAAACCTTTAGATACATGTCTTGCAAAAAGTGCTCTTTGTGACGGAAAACCAAATTGTCCTGATGGATCAGATGAGAAAGACTGCGGACCCAAAATCGAATGTGAACCTGAGGAGTTCATGTGTGCAAACTTTGAGTGTATTAGAAAGGTGAGCAAAAAAAACATACAAATATCATACATCTGGATAGTTCAACACGCCACATCTGAATTTTATTTTTCATTTTTGAAAATAAGCTCATTATGGAAAGTAATATTTGATTATGGTAGGTTACAAATGTAGATTAATATCTATATTTCCAATACATTAATAATTATTATCTTCTAGGTGAGAATTTAAGTACTTTCGTACTTAATCAAAAACGGTATGACAGATTGTCATTAAAATATATTCAACACTGATTAGTTTGATTATCCAATGTATTTCTATAAAATCTATTTTTTCCTTCTAAAATATCAATATATCCATACAAAATAAGGAAATGAATCAATATCACAAAGTATGGGCTTTTGCTAAACATATTTACTTTAAACTCGATTAATTTAACGGCTCTGATACACTTATAATAATGATAGTAGGAAAAATCAATAATTCAAAACTATAACATATCTAGTACGAGCAGGGAAGCAAAGTATCGGCCTTTTGTAGATGAACATGTTAAGCAACAATGTTGCATTACATCACATGTTCTTCCACCAATGAAATAGATTGTAACATGTTTTTTCATTCAAATATCTTCGATTTTCAAAAATGACCCTTATTAAGTTCATCCACTAATCTCTTTAATATTATCTGGTACTTGAATAAGGTAAAGTAGCTCTGTTTATTTTGAATAAAAAAAATCTGGGTAATTCTTTTCATAATAAATATCTACGGATTTTTTGAATTGTAGGTTTCAAATGTCTACTCGATGATATTGTGTAGGTATCTTTTTTGATAGTTATTATAGATGCAATAGTGTGTCATCAGGGAAAGTCAGCATAATTTTGCTGAAATTTTAATTGAAAAAAGAATTTATGTCAGATACTACATGGATTCTTTATTTTTCGTCATTGAAATAAGACAAGACTTATCAGACTAGTCAAAATTCATTCTCTCCGCAAATACATACATAAAATCAATCACCCTTATTTTTTAATTAGTTTTTATGAGTCTAATTTGAACTCATACTCATTCAATAAAATCGTAATGAACTCCATTTGAATCAGTGCACATTTGCCAAGGTAACACAAGTCGATTAATTTCGTCAGTATTAAAAGTGTATGATCGGGATTCGATGAAGTCGTTTTTTACCTAGGAGATTGGCGAAAGTTTCACTGGTGACAATGGTATTAAAGTTTTTGGAAAGATGGTAGTCGGTTGGCGAGAGGTCTTGGGAGTTTAATTTTCGGACGGTGATTTGTTAAACGTGCGGACGAGCGTTGTCCTGGAGCAGAATCGTACCTCTTGCGTAGACCAGTGCCCGCTGCTGCTGATGCAATTTTCGGTACATTTCGTCGATTTCCCCACATTAGGACTCTGCTGAGAAAGTTTGGCCGGATTGCAGAAAGTTATGGAGAATTACACCAGCCGCTGACCAATCACTGTCCTGAAAGTCTCCTGTTGTCGTAGAGAATCCACTTTTCATAACACGTGGCGATCCGATCCAAAAAAGGATTGTTTTGATTGCGCAAAAGCAGAGAAGAACAGACTTTGAAACGTGGCAATTTCTGTTGATTTTTCAAATCATGGTGCACCCACTTTTCGGGCTCATTGACCTTTCCAATACGTTTTAAACCATCAAAAACCCAGTTCTTGCGCCTTTCCACGCACTGTTTGTGATGAAAAAACACATATTATTTAAACCAGTGGTTCTTAACCGTATAGTCATGTGGGACCATTTGACAAAATTTCTGTCAGGCCATGGACCACCAAGTTGGTTAATTAGTTTTTAGTTAATATAAAGTACCTTACGATAACTACAAATGAATACAGTACAGTAAATACATGGAATGGTTGTTCTAATTCATCTATAAATAAAATACGCATAAAATTATTTAATGTCCTTTAATCATTAGGTAAAATCTGTAACTGTAACAAAAATTGCATTATTAATTAATGTGATTTTTGTGATTGCACACTCTTTACTAAATTCTGAATCCTTGGTTCAGTGTCATAAACTTAAACGCATATCAGCAGTGGCATCCAACCGATCTTGGTGCTTGTTTTTAATAATCAAAAGCGCTGAAAACATAGATATGTCGAAGAAAATAAAGTTAGGTAACGAATGCTTGTCTCAAAGTTGTGGTAGAGAAATTGCCTTTTGGTTCCAAAATTTTTCAAGATTAATTCCTCATTCGAATGTATCTTTTTAGTTGCTGTCGTGTAGCATATCAATTACTTCTTGAACTTCATCAGGCACCTCAGAAACATTTACAATAAATGGATGGTTTTTGAATACTTTTATCCTCGCCGTCGAGAAAATAGCTATTGAATTCAATTTTCAAGTTTTTTAAATGTAATATGTTCTTTTGTATTTCTCCTTTAATTTCAACAGTCTGTCCATCAATAATTTGATTAAGCTTATCAAACACATAAAGGTTATTACTTTCGGCCTTGTTGATCCATACCTCGATTTAACGAAACACACACTGATTTTATCTTCATAAGCAAAAATATTGCTCCTGCCTTGCAACTTTAAATTTCCGACTCTTGCAGTAAAAGGTTTAATTTATTTAGTTGCGCAAAAAATCGACCATATAAGCAAAATGTATTTGAAATTTGGACTCGCCGAACAGATCCAACAACTCTTTGTTTTCCTTGTTAGTTAAAATATTTTTACTTTCTCTCTCAGTTCGTACAACCTCAATAACATGTTTCCTTTGGAAAGCCAAGGCATTTCCATGTGGAAAAGCAAAGTTTCATGTTCAGAGTTCATATCAGAACACAGTTAAGTGTGCTACATTTTTGAAAAGGTAATTTGTACCTCTATTGAAATTTGCATGAATATACAGGGTGAATATAGTT